TGTGTGTGTGTGTGTGTGTGTGTGTGTGTGTGACTTTAACAGATCTTACTCAAAGGAATAAAATGATTAAATTGATATTTAAATAATGGAAATTAGAAGAAATGGAATACTGGAAGTGAAGGAATTAGTTGGGGGAGAGAAGTACAGGAAGCAGATGATGATGGCCTGACAGTGGTTGAAGTGGTGGAGAAGAAGAAAAAAATTCTCAGCTCAAACATTACTCCCTTTTCTCCAATATACCATACAAACTCCCACTTTATAGTTCCTGAGGCGTTTAAGCTGTATCTCTCTTATGACACTCACAGAGGCCCTGACACTACCATCCTCAAGTTCCATCATCTCGGAGTCAGTGCTTTAAATGATTGTTGAAACTAAGTTATTCAAGGAAGAAATTTCTGAGAAAGTAAAGAGACTTGGGTTCTAGTCTCTAATGAGACTTTTGCTCTGGTTTATTTTCAATTTTTGCTACAAATCAAGGAGTTTATCTAAATGGTCTCACATTTCACAAGCTCAAGATACAAGATGGCTTGGGGATTTTGAAAATAGATAAAATGTGGCAACTATTTAAAATTAAAGGGCTCTGGTGGCACAGTGCTTAAAACTTTGGCTGTTAATCCAAAGCTCAGCAGTTCAAACTCACCAGTTGCTTCATGGGAGAAAGATGAGGCAGTATGCATCCCTGAATATTTACAAACTTGGAAACCATATTGGATGTTTGTACTCTGTCCTATAGTTTCACTATGAGTCAGAATCGACTTGATGGCACTGAGTTTCTGTTTATTTAAAATGAAGACATGTGAATGAAGTATTACCTTAAAGTATCTTTTCTGCTCACTGAGCTTTGGTTTCTTTGGCTGAATTAGAATAAAACATCTCTAAATGTCTTTCCAGGTCTAATAATCCAGGAATAAAGGAAGTTGAGAGAGAAGGTGCATTTGGCAGAATTTTATGTTTATCACTTTTCCTTTTTCTACTCTTTCATAGCAAGTTTCTGTTTGCTATTATCTAGGAGATCCTGACAATTAAGGTGTCATGCAGTTATCAGATGGGGAACATGTAGGTGCCAGTTCCATTGCCATGTGGAGGCAGGGGCTGTAAGAGCTTTTGTAACACTGAGACACCATGTCTGACTATGTTTTGATTTTCTTAAACATAATCCATTTTTGGCTTTTCTGTCTGTGAGAGTAATTCTAATTATATCATTGTTTTCAACCCAATTTCAGGTAAAATGTCCTTATAAGAAAGTAGACTTGAGTTGGTACACTGGCACAGTAAACCCTTACCCAGATGTATATCAACCCATCTGTGGCACAGATGCCCACACCTATGACAACCCATGCACCTTGTGTATTGCGAGCATGTGAGTACCATTTTGGGAAAGGAACAGAACATTGAATAAGTTCACTCTACTGATACAGTTGTCTATCCCTCCCACCAAGCATGTCAGCCCTAAATGAAGGAATTCAGTCACTATTGCACAGATAATAACCAGTCTCCACTCAGAAGAGCATGTGGCAACAGGAAACTCACTAGAGTAGAAAGCAGACCCCTTGCAAGGAATAGTGTTCTTCAGGTCCTTTCTTCTCTCTGAGCCCTTGCATTCCCATATACCAATTGAAGGGTTTTCACTTAAATTCCTCAAATATCCCTGGGAGATCTGAAATTATTTGATTTAAAGATAATTTGCTATCTCTCAAATATCTTCAACACCTCAAGTATTTGAAACTCTGACATAGAATGAGGTGGTTGCAAAGTTTGGGTCCTTCAGAGAAGAGTCAGTTTTTGTACTTTTGTATTTCCATGACATTATACCTATGATTAAACACTGAAATTTCAGGTTTGACTCTGTATGAGTTAGTGTAGTTCAGAAGGAGGAAAAAAAAACAACTCTCTCCCTATGTCCTCAGAATGGAGTCCTCAGACCAATAACTGTTTTATGATTTGACTTAAGGAGCAATGACAGAAATGTTATCCTCAATGACAAGTAGTTCACACAAAATGTGGGAGTATTAACAGAATAAGCTGAAGATTGATATGCCTTACATTTAACAATCACAGGCCTGTTTTAAAAGCTCATTATAAAAAGACAATGTAGCATATGTCATAATATCTTCAGTGTTAGAGTCATGGTTATCATACCAATCATGTATATCAACCAAAAGCATCAAAACTTTTGCTGTCAAGTTGATTACAACTCATATGGACCTTATAGGACAGAGTAGAACTGCCCCATAGGGTTTCCAATGCTGCAGTCTTTATAGAAGTAGATAGATTCATCTTTCTTCTGCACAGCAGCTGGTAAATTTGAATCACTGACCTTCTGTTTAGCAGCCAGGTTGTTAATTACTGTGTCACCAGGGCATCTAGATCCAAGTATCATGGCTTTTGTATTATGTCAATTCCCTTTTTACTCTGGCTTTTAGGTCCTTCAAATATAAAATAAAAGTACCAGATAAGATCATATGTTAAGTATCTTTGTAGCTCTGACTTTCTATTATTTAATGAAATGTTTATTCTGACTTTTTCTTTAGGAAATCTAAAGGAAGAATTAGGTTTTCCCATAATGGAGACTGCTAGCTGTGTGGAGTTGGATGGGAAAGAAGTGTTTTCTTCTCTTCATCACAATAATCCTCCTTCTATCCCTCACCTCTCCTTGCATATGTGTTACTGAGCTTGTAGCAGATAACTAAAAATACAATTACTTCTTTAGAATTTTTTCCTCAATAATTTACTTGTTTTCTGTGTTGTCCCTAAAAAAAAAATAAACTTTTCTGAAGATTTCATTTGACTTGGATCTCAAATCATGATGTCTGTTCTCAGAAGTAGAAAAAAATTAAATTTCAGTTGAAGGTTAAAGACAAACAGTAGGATTAATCAGCTTTCTGATTCTTTGGGTAATGGAGTAATCTTGAAAAGAACTTCAGGTTGTCTTCCAAGAAATGTGACAGAAATTTATGTCATATTTAGTTGGCATTTTTAAAATCAAGTAACAGAAACTATGGAGAACCTTGCTCTGCCTTTATGATTCTTATTGATTACCTTCTGAAAACTCCTTATTAAACAACCTCAATTTTTAGTCTCAGACTTAAAGCAGAGGAAAATACCCACCTCTAGCTTGAGTGCCCTCCATACAACCTGACACAAGCCCTGATATTTCCAATCGCCTCGTATGCATGTGAGAGCTGGACAATGAATAAGGAAGACCGAAGAAGAGTTGATGTTTTTGAGTTGTAGTGCTGGCGGAGAATGCTGAAAGTACCATGGACTGCTAAAAGAACTAACAGATCTGTCCTGGAGGAAATGCAGCCAGAATGCT